TAGATTCAGGATTTCTATCCTATCCCCTTTGCTAGTGGGACCACGGCCCGGCAGATAGGACAGGCCCGCAGAGGATGACGTGGATATATACAAAAAATATATATATTTTTTTTTCTCTTTTTTTTACAAAAAATATATTGTACAAGGCACGCTCGCCCTTTTTCGGTCGGTGCGTTCCAAAGATGCGATCGGACGGTTAAAAAGAAGAGGAAGGACGCGATCCGACGGCCACAATTTTTTTTTTTTTTTTTTTTTAGGGGTCGGCTTGGAAATCGGTTCTGGGCCGAATTAATTTTTCAGTTTCCTTTTTTTTGGCCGGGGGGTGAGCGCCCGACTTCCTCTTTTCCTTTTTCCCTTTAGAGGCCCTGTGCCCAAAGGCCGGATTGCACAAACCGGGAAACGGCCCCCGGGCCAAGTCCCACTACCGGTAGCAGCGTTGACTTTGACTTTCCTCCACGCAAGAATCTGGACGTGTTCGTGAAGATGTGCGGTTGAGCAAACTCCACGCTATTTTTCTCCATTTCTCCACAAACACGTCCAGATTCGGGCGTCGAGTTGAGGAAAGTCGACGCTGGGCCCGGCGTCAGTCCCAAAGGCCACTTTTCAGAGAAGTAGGGTAGTCTAGGTCCAAGTCAAAAGTCAAAGTCAAAGGAGGTGTACCAACTGGCCCCTAGCTCAGTCCGTACACCCCTGATCCGTATTGTGCACAATAGGGATTTTGTCATTTCGTTAAATTTGTTGTGCAGTTTTCAAATGGATTGCAACCTTTTTTTTTTTTTTTTTTTTGGAAATTGTAACCTTTTCTATGATGTGAGGGACGCTGGACCCGTTTTCCAGCTTTTATAATTCAAAAGCATGAACCAGGCCGGAGTGCCTGGACTGGTTCATACGACACTCTGGCCGCCCCTTGTATGAAAAGGGAAAAAGGAAGTCGGTACACCCCTGAATCGTTTTTTTTTTTGTTTTTTTTTTTTTGGCACCGTTTCCCGATTTACGCGTGTCATCCTTGCGCAGGGGCCATGCTAATCGTCTTTCTCTCTCTATCGTTCCAATTAGAACGGATGTCCCCGAAGGACCACCCACCCCTAAACTGTTGAAATACAGACTGAGCTGCGTAGGGGAGGTCCTTCGGGACATCCGTGCAGTTTCAGTCCCCTTAAAATTCAGAGTACCAATTATAACGGATGATGTCCCGAAGGACCACCGCTAAGGATCTTTTTACAATTTGTGATTGATCTACTTTTCTGCATCTCTGTGTGGAACACGTCCAGATTCAGACAATTATTCCAATCCTCTTTGCCAGTGGGATCTGGCCCTAAGGCTCTTTTTAAAATACAGACCTGAGATCAAACTCGACGGGAAGCAGATGAGTAAAAAAACACTGCAACTCAAATTACCTACCGTACCAAAAAAAAAAAAAAAAACTACCGTAGGGGCGATCAGTTCTAAGATGAGATTTCAAGGGCGTCGCACTTTCCAAAAAAAAAAAAAAAAAAAAAAAAAAAAGTCAAGAGGACACCATGCGCAGATCATGTATGATCACATAGGATTATACTGCTACCCGTCCTCACCCGAATAGAACGCCGGTCATCATCATGCGGTATCTGGGCCAACTTTCAGACCAGATGCAGCCATAACGACCGAGCGTTTTATTCGGGTGAAGACGGGTAGAGCTCCCATCATTACATTATTTCTACATATAGGATATATAGGATATATAGGATATATATATCGTAAATACATAGAATATATATATTGTCACAAAAATATCAGAGCCCAAATGCAAAAAAAAGAAAAAAAGAAAAAAGGAAAGAAAAACAGGAAAAAATGAATTCACTTTTTTATCTTCTTCCTTATAACTCCCCCTGTTCAGAACCTCTTGCGTACAAGGCCGCCCACGTGGATGTAGTAGGTTGAGCGGCGCCGGCCCCCACCCCCGTGTGTCATATCGACCCACTTGCACACAGCCAAAAGGCAAAGAGGCAAAGAAAAGAGGAAGGGAACAGCCAAATAATACAGAACAGGGGGCAACAAAACAGATCCCAGATGACAAGTCCCACATGCAAGCACCGCCCCTGCCCACAGGCCAAACGACGGGACAAGGCCAACCAGGATGTCAAGCATTCTTGTCTGCAAAAAAAATAAAAAAGAACCCGGAGAACCGGTACAAAAAACAATCCCGGGGCCAGGTCCCACCAGCAGCGTTGAGTTTCCTCAACGCCAGAATCTGGACGTGTCTGTGGATATGTGCAGAAATCGCGTTGAGTTTTTCTCAACCGCACATCTCGACGAACGCGTCCAGATTCAGGCGTTGAGGAAACTCAACGCTGCTAGTGGGACCT